ATAGGTGGCATCGTCAGCCACTCGACTGTAGAAATGGGTCATGTGGGAGGATGAGCCAGGCTCGGTCCTGTGTCAAGCTGGAAACGTACCAGCTGATACAGGGGCCCTTGGTGGTTGGTGATCTTAGCCCCGATCCGTTGATGTGATTCAATCCTGCTGAACTTTCCCGACCCACTGCCAGCCCAGCCAGCCCCTTTCTTCCGGAAGCTCTTGAGGATTTCCTCGTTCTTTTGATGTCCTTGAGGAAAGAGTGGACGATGCAGTATTTGGAAGTTCCTGGGTGACATCCATGTCCTTAGAAAGAGTCAGCCTTCCGCATCTTGCACGTCTACCATACCCAGGCACTCAGGGAGAATCAATAATTTCTGACCATTGGTAGTGGATTGTGCTAGCCAAGCCTCTGAGTAACCTTCAGTAGCATCCATGGCTATGGATCGTTTGGGGTGGTCCCTAGAGAGGAGAACCGGACTATCTAGTCTAGGGCTCTGCTCCATGGCCTGCACATCCCACTCTTCCTAAAGCATGTTCTGCAGATTCATTCATTCCTTGAACCAGTAGTGATGTCATTGCTCCTGCTGGCCCGTGCTGTGTCTCCTAAACCCTGTTTTCATCCTGTGGACAGCTATGCCAGGCATAGCACCTGCTGGGCCAGGCGTAGCTCTGAGCATCTGTCTTCATGGAGTTTGCCTGCCAGGACAGGGTCAACAGGACCTTTGGGGCAGTGCACTGAGCACTGTGATCATGCAGAGAGCTGAGATGAGGACAACAAGGACCGAGACAGCTCCAAGGGAGTCCAAGTCCCCATCATCATTCAAACCTCCCTGGCCACTCCGTTGCTGCAAATATTTGTGGTATTTTTGTGCAAAGGCAAGAAATGTCCTCTCTCTGGTTGGACTGACCAGTGGAAAACAGGGGCTCTGGCTACTGTAGACTTGGGAATGTACTACTTAAGCAGAAGGTCCTCCATGAGAGTTCAAGTGCCTGTGCCTCCCCTGCTGGGTAGCATCTCCCTTGATCCCTCTGCCAGGGATCTTTGCATTCTGAGAGCAGCACTGTAGACCATGTGACACTGTGTACCTGGTCTCCCAAGCTGAAAGAGGGTAACCCTCATGCCCTGTGAAGCTGCTGGGGGATGGGGAGGGGCCAGGAGACGGCCCACTGCCAGCAGGCGCCTTCAGCCTGTGCCTCCGCCTCCCAGAGCTTCAGCCATAAAGGACCTGGGTCTTTAGTGTTCTTCAGTCTCTGAAAGGAGCAGGATGCTGTCAGGCACCGTGAAAATGTGACCTTTGAAAATTTACAAGAGCCGGGGTTTAAAAAGCTGCTGTGTTAATGATGCATCCCATTAGCATCTCATTAAAGGGAAGCTGAGAGAAGCCAGCTCAAGCCCAGTGATGGGCAGATAGGGCCACTCTGCAGTGCTAGTAGGGGAAGGCTATTCTGGCTGGTGGGCCTCTCCTGATGCATACCGCCATGTTATTGGAGCAGAAACCAGGGCCAGGGAAAGGCAGAAGGTCTCCGCTTGGGTGGCTTCCTGGGTGTCCCAGAGAATGGCAGTGGGAGGAGGTGAGAAGTGAGAGAGACTCTGCTTAGCCCACTTCTGCCACTGGGAAGCTAGCTTTGTACCGGCAGCCCACCCAGACCCCATATCCCGTTCTCCTTCCCTAAGGCGAGTCCTCATGCAAGCTGGGAAAAGCCTGGATTGCTCCTAGGAGTTCCAGATGTGTGGGAGTTCAAAATTACAAGAGCGAAGTTCAGAGCTGCAAACACAGGCCCATACAGGGTCCCGGGCACCTCCAGAATCTGCCATCTGCAGATTATTTGGGACCTAGAGCTCTTGGCAGGAGAAAAGGCCCCCTGGTCAAGCTTCCTGCCTCCATACTATACTGGTCCATATATGGCTCGCCGGCATGCCCTGGACGTTGCCACAAAGGGCACACTCCTGCATCTAAGCTGTCTGTGGTCTCTCCGTATATGGTTCCCCTGGAAGCCCTGGGCCTCTCAGCAAAGGGCACACTCCTGCATCTAAGTTGTTTGTTGACAGAATCAAGAAAGGAATATTCACTTGATTGCTTTTAATAAAATAAAATTCCTGAGCCGCAAACTGCTTGCAGCTTAAGATGTTGCTAGTGCAGAGTAGATTGTGAGTGGTTTGATTTACCATTCCAAAGCGGGGGGTGGACTTCGGAGCAGCTTTCTTCGGTCTCGGAGACTGCTTTTACTGATCATGAAAGACACAGAGGCAAACAGAAGGCCCCACAGCCGGGTAATCTCCCTGTGGCTGTGGATCAGCCTGTGCATACCCAGAACGCCCAGCTTCTGTTTGGGGTACACCGGGGTCTGCTCCAGCTGAGAGCAAAGTCTACAAAGGGAATCGCCTGGGTCCGAATGGCCCCCATCCAGACATTGCTCTGGTCAGTACATATCAGTACCCCAGCCCAATCGTTATTTACCAAAGAACAAACCAAGGCGTACATGAGCGACACATTGCGTAAGTCTAAGCAATATGTTGGGGGAAAAGATGCAATTTTTCAGGTCCAGAACTCCCCTCATTTGGGGGCAAACATTAGAATTTCCATAGTTTTATAGCATAGAACCTGATGACCCAAACTCAAAGGGGAAAAAAAGCAGAGCTTCTGGCAGAAGTGGCAGTCTCGGGGCACGTTTCCAGAAGGCTTCCCTCCCTGGTTAAGTTGCTATGCGGTCCTGCAGACCCAGCATTGCAGAAATTGTGGCAGGGAGAGGACTCTGAAATCTTAAGCAAAGAAAGCTGTTGTTTCCTATCTGGGAAGCCTCTGGGACATGGGCAACAGAGAGGGGCTACAGCACCCTCTCCTGGCAGAAAAGGTTTCCATCTTGTCAGCGAAGAGGCTTGCTGGCAAGGAGGCTAGGGGGTCCCGGCAGCATTCAAACATGTCCTCTAAACAAGGCTCTTGAATAGGACATAGCACAGACTCATTCCCCCTCAGATGCCTCTGGTTTCAGGAGCAATTTCTGTGTCTCTCACCCCATTGTGATCCTGGTGCCTGGAAATAAAGGGCTGCAGATGGCTAGCTGGCTTCTGCACCCATCCGGGGCACACATGGAAAGTTGCCTCTTCAGAGAACTCAAGGAAAGCCTCCCCCATGTTTCCTGTGCCTCATCACCATTGTGGCTATGTCTCAGACCCCCCTTTTGTATCCCACCACCCCCGTCAATCTCACCCATGCCACAAGCAGGAGTGGGGCCTCTGATCTGAACACTTGCTCAAGGAATTCTTTCTTTTCATTTTGTTCTTTTTTTTTTCCCTTCTCGTCCTCTTTCCAAGCCCTGTTCCCGGAAGTGGCCTCTCTGAAGGACAGTCCAGAGGTAAAGTGCCCCCAAGTGCAATTACTTCTGCACTGCCCCAGGTCTCAATGTTGCCTGGCTCCTGCTCTCCCAGCAGGCCCTGCGGCAGGCTCTGTGTGCCAAAGTGTGTGATACAGCAAAGCCTCCAGGGGCCCTGCCCGGTCTACTGCTCACACCCACTGCTATGCACCTGGCCTAGGACCCAGATGAATCACCTTGCCCAAGGGCCTCACAGGGAACTCTGCCTCCGGGTTCATCACTGTGTCAGACTCTACACGAAGAAGCTACTGTGGCTTTCTTCTGGGCATGCCCCTGGAGAAGAACAGCCTCATCCCAGCTCACCGCTTCCCTAGGGCCAACTGAGTGTCTAGGAGCTGTGACTATCTTCTCAAAGTTACCTCCATGGAGATCCTCACCCCTTTGCGTCCCAGTTTCCTTATCCCAGCTTCTGAGATATGTTTAGGATTTATTTTTGTATTGTTTATAAATAATGGCCATTGGAGAAATTTGGTATTTAGATGTGGTAACACACAACTGCAATCCTAGCGCTTTGAAGTGAGAGAGAGGGAAGTCACGTGTTCAAAGGCAGCCTGGAATACAAAAAAAAAAAAGATCTGGGGATGTGGGTCAGTGGTAGAACACTTGGAAAACACATACAACACCCTGAGTTCGATCCCCTGAACCATTTATTTTGATAATTGAAAAGAATGTAGACAAGAAGTCCTCCATAATCCTCGCATCCAAAGGTAATATCTTGCCGATATTTGGGTCATTCCCCTCTCATACGTGTTGTTCAACAGCAGGATGGGTTTGCGTAGGGAGGGTCACATGGGCGTAACCTTGCGGCCTGCTTTTCTCATCAATGTCAAGGTGGGAACATTGCGCCTTCTCATGATAAATTTCGGAAAGCACACTTCTTAGTAGCCAGTATTCTCTCAGGACTGTAGCCTCGGGGACCACTGTCATTTTGACGTTTGCCTTCATTCTGAGAGAGCTTTCCTTGTACATCTCTAAGATAAATCAGGTGAGCTCACACAGCAAGCAAGCCCCCTTGCTGCTCTGAGGGCTCGTGGGTTCCTCCTCCCAGTTTCCATCCCTCCCTCTAGGGGATGCCTGGCTTAACAGCAGGTGTCGGAGCAGGGTGGAGAACACGCAGTGGTCCTCCTTTGCCACCTGACGATGGCGTTCTGCAGAGCGAACCTTTTGCCACCTCCTTAGTCAGTAGGCACACGTGAAAGCCCTGGGCACCTGCTGGGCTGAGACTGAGTGGATACAGTCGGTGCTCAGCCCCTACCCTGGATAAGTGGGTAGCATTTGGGTTATGGTGGGCTATCGACAGTCTGAGGGCTAAGGTGTCCCCACACCAGAGGACAGAATGCAGTAGTTGCCCCAAGATAGGCAGCAGCAGTTGAGATGCCTGGCACGGCCTTGTCTTGGAGTCCTAAAGGCCAGGAGCTCATCAGAGGCCAAACCTGTCAATACTCTGTCCGGAGATCCCTCGCTGGGAAGGAGGCAGAAGTCCCAGCATTAGTGGGACTGGGTACAGGCTAGCTATCTCTCTCTCTGCCCGTGAGCCCATTAGAAAAAGCTCAGGTCTCAAGGTATTGCTGAGATAACAGGTTCCAGGCAAGGTCCTGGGAAAATCTATGCTCACCATTCTCCTCTCCTTTCCACAGGCTCCCGGCATCTCCAAAGCCGACAATCAGTCCCAGGGACTCACGACCAGCATTCGATGGGGACAGACACCCATCAATCAGTCCACACCCTGGGACACTGATGAGCCGCCCTCCAAACAGATGAGAGAGAGCGACAATCCAGGTGCGTGGGCATCAGCTGACAGAGACACCTACTTGCTGGGTGCTCGGTTCTTCTCCAGAGATCCCGATCCTTGGGTCTACAGAAGCCCAGATATCAGGCTTGGGATGTGTGAGACCCCCAAGTTTCTAAAGTCAGCCTTCCAGGGAGATTTGGCCTTGCCCGAGGTTACTTGAGCACTAGGTTGCTCTGGCCCCGGGACTGGGGTTTCCTACTTCCACAGCATTGTGGTCCTGCTGCTGACAACTCTGACCCACGGCTCCTGCAGTCCCTTCTCCCCACCCTGCTTTGGTACAGATACCTGAAGATACCTCCCAGTCCTTTGTCTTCTGCTATAAACACCCCAAACCCATCCATCACCCTAAAGCTCATGAATTCCAGACCCTTCACTTTCCTGACAAGTGCTCACTCTGGATCCCTCTAAAGGGCAAAGGCACAACCCAGGACTAAAGACAAATCACTGCTCACCAACACTCTTTCTTCAGCCTCCACCTTGGGCATTACAGCCCCAGAACATAGCTGTTCAGCCCATAGATAGCACCTCCTGTCCCAGTGGTAGAACTCAAGTTTGTCACAAGGCCATCTCTTCGTAATTAGGCAGCTGGGTTTAGGGACACAAGCAGATCCCTCCACTCTCTCCTGAATGGGGCCACTGTGATCTCAAGTGCTGTTTGGAGAGAGGGTGGTTTTTTTTCTTATGCTCTGTTCCCAGTTCCCCCAGAATTGCGTCCTTCATAGCCCGTCCAAGTCATTGATTAAAAACAGTGGTCAGGGCTTACTGTAAGTGACTTCAGGCATTCATCTCATCAAAAAAAAAAAAAATCATCTTCATGGCCTAGCATCTCAGGACTATGTGTGGCCTTGTTGGCCAGACTCTGACATTTTAATGCATATTCCCAAGTTCCCTGGCTAATCCTGGGGAGCATTGAGTTCGGAGTGCCAGGCTTTGGTCTTGAGACATCCAGCCACGCTGGCTCGTGTCGATAGCACCTCCTCTGTTTAGCTTGGACATGGTCCCCCCTCAGCAGCCTATTCTAGAATCTAGCCAGCAATACATTGCCAATGCTTCTTGGCTTGCAGCCTCCCTCCCTCCTGACACGAATCATAAATATTTCTCGCACATTATCGTGTGCCTTGTTCTTTGTGTGATCAGGGCTTGCAGCAATCCTACACATGGGTATTACTGGGCCTCCGGAAGATGAGGAAGCTGTGTCACTAATCTGGAACTCGAATCCCAGAATCGGGACTCAGAACTGGTTCCTTCTGGCTCCTCCTCCTCCTCCTCACCCAATGCCCCCTGCTGGATTGAATGTTGCTGTGACATCTGGGCTCCTGCCCTCCCTACTCATCTTATGTCTAAGAGGGAATTCCCAGACCTTCTAGCCTCCAGGGCTCCCAGTGTCCTGCCTCACCGTTCTCAGGCTACACTCGAAGCCCAGAGGAATCATGATAACCAAGGTTGAATCTGGACAGTGAAGGCTCAAGCCAAGACCCCATTACATCAGAGGTGACCAGACTAAAATTTCCTATCGCTGTATCTTCCAGCTTCACAAGCCATTCTGGGTCACCTCAATATCAGTTAAACGCCAGGAAGACCCAGGCCTTGCTCTGCCTGACTGGGCATCACTGGCCTTTCACCTTGTATCGCATCCTCAGAGGTGTACCTGGCCTTCCCTCTTCCCCCAAAATCACATCAGGAGCCGAGCTGGGTTGGCCCGGTTCCAACAACAAGGCCTAGAGTCCCCTCAGATCTCTTCCAGGATTTCCTAAGCTCCATCCACCTCTTTCTAGATGCCTGGAAAACACCTTGCCATCTTCAAGATCCACTGCACTCACCTGAAACCCCTGCAAACACAGTTCGCTGCTAGCCTTCTCTTTGCCTCCCGTCCACCGCAGTTCTCCAGCAAAGGAGTACATACAAGACATATAACATACAACACATACAAAACACATATGTACCATCTACCGCACACCTGACACGCTGTTGGTTTTGCAAACATGCATTCCACCTTCAGTTCTCAGTCCAGATTAACAGACAGAAAGAAAGAGGCTTGGAGAACCAAAGCAACTAGCCAAGGTGGGAGAGCTGAACGGAACTTCGGTCTCTTTGACAGTCTGCGAGTATTTTCTCTATGCTTTGCTGTGTCTCATTCCTCCCAAACAGATTTGTCTTTTTTTTTTTTTTTTTTTGATACAAAGTCTCACTATGTAGCCTTGATTGGCCTGGAACTTGCTACTCATGGAGATCCGCTTGCTTCTGCCTCCCTCCAGAGTGCTGGGATTAATGGTGTGTGCCCTTAAGCCCGGCTTTTTCACATTCTTAAACTTCTGTGTGCTCGGACACAAATGTCTTGGCCACTGTTATTGCTCCAGGTCCCAGCCCAAGGCCTGGGACAGGTGATGTTTGATGATTGAATATATAACAGATAGAATAACAGTTTTTCCATCTCCCTTACAGGCACGGGGCCATGGGTAACCACGGTGGCCGCCGGGAACCAGCCTTCCCTGATTGCACACTCCTATGGAGTGACCCAGCCTCCCACCTTCAGCCCGGCTGTGAACGTCCAGGCCCCGGTCATCGGGGTGACTCCCTCACTGCCTCCCCATGTGGGGCCCCAGCTCCCGCTGATGCCGGGCCACTACTCACTCCCACAGCCGCCCGCCCAACCACTGAGCAGTGTGGTGGTGAACATGCCTGCCCAGGCCCTGTATGCCAGCCCTCAGCCCCTGGCGGTATCCACTTTGCCTGGAGTGGGGCAGGTAGCCCGCCCAGGACCCACTGCTGTGGGCAACGGCCACATGGCAGGGCCCCTGCTGCCTCCACCTCCGCCGGCCCAGCCGTCCGCTGCTCTCCCCAATAGTGCTCCTGCCACCAATGGGCCCCCCACAACAGACTCGGCCCATGGGCTACAAATGCTACGGACAATTGGAGTGGGGAAGTATGAGTTCACCGACCCAGGGCACCCTAAAGGTAAGTCCTGTCACACACCCCACTGTGTGCCTGGTCTGTACCTCCCTGCTTGGTCACTCCAACACAGTGAGGACAGAAGTGTGTTTATGGTAGCTCTTTCACTGGCTTCATCTAACCAGAAGCTTTGACAGAAACCCCCTGTCTAGGCGGGTGAATTCAGGCAGAAAACCAGTGTGGAGTTGAGACAAGCAACAGCATGATTCACAGAGCAAGAAGGGAAAAAAATGGGAAGAAGAAGGAAGAGGGAACTTGAAAGTCCAGAGCCCAAGGCATGCTCACCCCAGGCCAGACCAAGGCTAGACTGAGCAAGAGCTACCCACCCTGCTTCAGGGTCACTAGAATAGTCCATGGGGGGGGGGGGGGGGTTTACCACTTTCCATCCACAAAGACAATCCAAACACTATCTGCCTATGCCAGGCAGGACAAGCCTGCTCCACCAACCAAGCTGTTAAGAAGAGCGGAACCCTGGCCCAGGCACATTCTACCATCCTGAGCCACTTAAGGTTTTGGTTTTGAAGGACTGAAAAGGTCTCTGTTGAGTCACCGGGAAGAATAGCACTGGGCTGGCCTTCAGGGGGACCCTTGACCCCAAACCCCACCCCCAGGGGAGTTTCCTTGCAAAGAGCTCAGATGTAGTTCCTTGGGAACAGAAGCTGGGGAAGGAAGTACACCACTCACCCCAACATGGTTCTCAGCCCAAGCCGCAGCCGCAGCATCAGGGCCCAGGACATTAGAGGTAGGTTCTAATCCCCGTGTCTGAGTGGACAGCAGAGCCAGGGCCAGGAGGGGAGGCTTTGAGAGTGCCTGTCTTAGATTTGGCTTTCCTTGATGCAGGGACATTGCCAGACAGCTCAGGTCCTGGTCCTGCAATGTGCAGAGGGAAAGTAATGAGGCCTCCAATGGCGAGGCAGCTCTAGGAACAGAAGGAGGCAGGAAGACCTCTGTCCTAGCCTGCTGGAGTACCCATGTCTCCTTCAAAGGGGCCAGTAGGTGGTGCTAGATAGTGTATACAACTGGCCATAGCTTTTCCTCAGAACCCCTGACCGTCCATTTCAGAGGTCCCTGCGTCTTAGCATTGCAATGCTGCCCTTAGTCACTCTCTGCCCACTGTTCTCCAGACATTTGTCGCTGGTCCTTCTGAGCCATTCTCCAGTCTTTCTGAGCAACCCCAACCACAAAGCTGGTGCCTAGCTCCTGGTGGGGTTTCATTCCGAACCTGTGTGAGCTCCAACTGCCTTTGTTTGGGAAATCAGTGCTAGTTTTAAATGACAAAATTATAGAAAATTACATCTGAAATCTGGTAAACCCTTGCTTTGTTTAAAATTTATTTTTTATAGAGAGAGAGCCTAAATTGATTTCTTCTTTGAACTGTTTTGGTTTAGCAACCCCTTTCTTTAGGAGAGAGAGAGAGAGCATGCCAAAAGAACAAAAGCACGCACATGCACACACATGCACGCGGGCACACACACACACCAATTCGCTCCCACTTCATGAGCCATCAACTCTGACACAAGAAGCTGTGGGGTCCCAACTGTCTAAGGCTCTCCCAAAGCTGGAAGCACTAGGCAGCTTTAGGGTGCCCACAGGGAGAGATCTGCTAGGGCGGTGAAAGGTCTCGCTGGTTTTCCAAGTTCCGGATATCTATCTAGAGAAAAACCGTTCTGTCAAGGAGGAAACCAGATTAGCTGACCTTAGCGTCCCCTAGTCGAAGACCGGACACTGAGCCGGAATCCATCCCTCTGAACATTGCTAGAAGCAGGCTGTCCCTGGACACCCTCACCCTTGAGATGGGGTGACACAGGTTGGTGGGCTGCACTATTGAGCCTAGTACTACGTCATTGAGCCATACAGAGCTGCTCCTGGAACAACCAGGAAAGCCAAAGAGTGTGGCCTGACCTCTGTGGCCCCAAGCCTTACAGGGCCGTGCGGCCCCATGCTATTTGCTATACCAACCCCCATAGGGTAGAGTGAGTCTGGGTGAGAGGCAGGAAGCAAGATCCAGAATGTATACCCCACTCTATCTTCTGGGGAGCCTTTAGGGTCTTCCAGCTCTGGTCAGTGACCATGGGGGACCTGTCCAGCACTCTGATTTCTATTGGTATCCGCCAGACCAGCTGTTTGCCCAGAGATTACGTTAATTCACATGTGTTTATGGCCCTTGCCCGCTGGCAGATCCCCCTAGTATTTGTGAAGGAAGACAAGGGGCTGGATGCATACGAATGTACAATGCTCGATCCTGGGTTTTTATTTCTTAGGTAAATTCTCCTTTCATTTCTAATCTTAAAAGCCTTTTTTGCTAAAGCTATAATTTATCTGTCATATCTAATGTCAAACAGCTACATTTAGGGGGAAAAAAATAAGGAACCCAAATTTTGAAACCGAATCCTTGCAACTTGCCATGGGAGAGTCACAATCCTGCCAGCACCACGTGGGTTTGGATTTGGGTCACTTTTAATTTTGCCCCTAGGGATTTTGCATCCCTGAAACTCAATTGATTTCACACTCCTAAATGACAGACAGCTGGCTCCGGGCGGGAACAGGAGGCCCAACATGATGCTATCAACACAAATCAGAACTCCACTTTAAAAAAAAAAAAAGTCGGGGGAGAGAAGAAAAAGAATTTTCTTTTCCTCCTAGTGTCTGTTTGAAACCTTGCCCGGCATTATAATAAGATCCACCATGCACGATCTAGCTCATTACAGTCCTATGATTTTTGCCTTACTATTGTTTGATGAGACAACCTGGCCTCTCGTGGGGTGGAGCAATTATGCAGAGAGAGCCCCTCCATGGAGAGCAGGTCTTGCCAGCCAGAGGGATGGGCCACTGGTATTTTTAGACTTCATTAGTGCCCTGATTTAAAATTTCACATTTTGTTTCTTGTAATTATCTTCCGATCGACTGAACGAAATTTTCAGTCGAGGCTCTATTAGTCCGCCTTCCCAAAAAGGGCTTTGGGACTTTAATTTCAAACTTAACCAATTGCAAAAGAAAGGTGGTGTGCAAAATGCCTTTTGATTTGCTGTAGGTCAAGCGATTGTCTCTCATCTGTGACTGGAGAAGCCAGCATGCCTGCGGTTTGCTTTAATGAGTGTTATTTAAATGCATTGAGCACATATAGATTTTCTTAAGAAACTTACAAGATAAATCTTTCTTTCTCTAAGAACAATTTGAGGGTGGGAGCAAGCTGTGGAATTTTTTTTTTAGATTATATATTGAAAGGTAATTAAAAATAGATTTCATGTGTGCAAAGTGATAAGGGAGGAAAACGGAATTAGTTCCATCTGAATCTTTATAAAAGGCCTGGTGTGTTTGTCTTGTCATTAGATGGGCACAGACCCCTGGCCTGATCCTCTGGGAGAAGTACAGCCAAACTCAGGCCTAGGCAGAAACCCACGGTCAAATGACCCTGCTCCTAGAGATCTCTGGGAGGTCACAGGCAAGGTCCAGGCTGGGGGCATGGTGATTTCTGCTGTCTCTCATCAGGGATTGTTGGTGGCTGAGATCAAGGCTGGGAGCCTCTAAAATCCCTAGACCCTGGGCCCAGAGGCTGTCTGTCTGAGGAGAAAAGAGCTAAGGGAACCTGCTGCCCTTCTTCCAGAGGAGGGACATGTCTGTGATGGTATAGACACTGTCACAGGTATGATGCAGGAGTCACAATGAGCCAGCTACAGAGTTTGGCTTCTCTGCCCAGGACCAAGGAGCTACATGATGCATAAATTGTTCCACCCGTTTTTGTGGGTACAGTTTCTCTCCCCACTTCCTAACCATAGACCTTTACTCCAAGGAGCTCTGTCCATCCTTGCAACTGCATCTCACATGAAGTTCAGCTGCTCCAACTCTATCAGCAGCAAAGACAGTAGCTTAGGATATGCTGAGGTGTATGGAATAGCTCTGTAACCAGAGCGAGCCTCCTGGCCTCTCTGAGCCTCCTCTGCCTTCTCTTAGAAATGGTGTCTGAGCGTAGTGGTTCTTGCCTGTCATCTCAGCACTCAGGGTAACTAAGGCAGGAGGATTGCCATGAGTTTAAGGCCAAACTGAGCTACATGGTGAGTTCCATCCAGCTCAGCCTGGGCTACAGAGTGAGTCTCTGCCTCATAAAATCAAACATTAATGTATATAAGGTATATGTGTTTATATATATACATATATATGTGTATATATATACACATACATAAATATATATAATACATAAAATAAGAATGTGTAGTAATAGGAGCGGCGGGCTATGGCTCGGCTAGCTTTACCAGAAATAATTACACAGAAACTGTATTCATTTAAACACTGCCTGGCCCATTAGCTCTAGCCTCTTACTGGCTAACTCTCACATCTTGATTAACCCATTTCTATTAATGTGTGTAGCACCACGAGGTGGTGGCTTACCGGGAAGATTCTAGCCTATGTTCATCTTGGGCTGGAGCTCGTGGCGTCTGCCTGACTCTTTCTTCCAGCATTCTGTTCAGTCTACTCTGCCTATCTAAATTCTGCCCTATCAAAAGGCCAAGGCAGTTTCTTTATTAACCAATGAAAGTAACACATAGACAGAAGACCCACCTACATCAAGAATGCTTATACTACCCTCCTAGAGTCCAGGGGAGGGCCAAATGTGACCATCCCTCACTCCTCGCCTGCTCACTGCCACTGAAGTCTAGCCAAGCACCCTGTCCAGGGAGTTTAGCAGATGGGTTAGCCCATCCAGGGATCACAAGACCACAGCCCTGTGGTCAAGCCACTTTCTGCGAGATGAGATGAGTTGCTTTCTGGCAGAGGGATGGGAGACTATTCTCCCAGACATGGGGCCAAGGCATAGCTCATCCCTCCTTGCTCCACACATTGAGACACCGTTCTCTCTGCAACCTCATAAATCCCCTGGAAGGAGCTGAAATGCAAGACAAAGCTGTTTGCCCACACAGTGCCCATGCGATAAGAACCCTCACACAGGCCAGCCATCCCTGTGGCAGGATCTCAGAAATGTCACCCTGAGTCCATCATGGGTTCAAACT